GCAGTCGAGGGCCTTCTCTGCATTTCCCGGGATCACAGGGTTTTCTCTGGTGTGTCCTCCATTCCCACCGGGCTGTGGAGATGCCAGCTTGATCCTGATTGTAATCTATGCCCCACTTACTGGTTGCCTCTCAAGATGGTGCTGAGCTCTTGGGGGTCGGGGTGGGTGAGGGTGGGATGGGGTGAGAGATCTAGTGTTCTCTTGGAAGCGGTATATCCGTCTGCTTCCCTACCAGGCGTGTGTCAGCCCTCTGCCAGTTCTGTTGCTCTTGCAGGTGGGGAGTGCTGGGGTCCAAGGTGGGAGTCCAGAATTCAGAGTGAGTTTTGAAGACTCTTCTTGCCTTTTCCCTGGTGGAGGGAGAGGGTTCCATAGCCTCACAGTTGACTTCCTCTTCATGTTTCCAAGTGGAAATTCTGATTTCTTTCTTGGTCTTTTTTTGTGCTGGTGGGCTCATGTGCTTGACAGAGAGAGAGGGAGAGTGAGGAGAAAGCACCTTCCACGGGGAATGGTCATGCCACAGCCCCTCCTCTCTCTCTCCCTCTTTCCTTCCTCTTGGGATTTTGGGCATTCGCTCACAAGCACCAGGAGGGTATCTCAATCTTCCGGGTCTGGGACTCAAACTGTGAGGTCAGCCACGTGGGATCTGATTGGCAAAACCACTACACCAGGGAGCTAACCAATCACCTTTCTTAAAGTGAACTGTGTAGGCTAGCTAGTGACATAATGGTTGAGGGGGCTGGATCCCATGTGGCCACCTGCACAATCCAAGTCCTGGACCTAGCACTTTGAAAAACGCCAGGTGTGTGGCCTGAGTGCTTGAAATGTCAAGAGGAGAATGGAGGAGGGATTGTGGTGTGGCAGTGCTTCCTCACTGCCTATTTCTCTTCCCTAATCACAGGAATGATATCCCATCATACTGACATTCTTCCCTGTGTCATTGGGAATGGGGTTATTTTGGAGTTCTCCCCTTTATATATCTTACATACTTTTAATAACTTGATGGTAGAACTCTCAAACACAAAGAATAGCAATGAACTCTACGTCATTCAGGTTCAACACATAGGAATATGTTTTGCATTCATGGTATTTTTAGACAACTTATTTTCTGCTTGGATATTATAAAGTGATATTCAAAATGGGGATTAAGATTTATTTTTAGCATTTTGTAACTGATCACCCAAAAACTAGGATCGCCCCAAAACTGTGGTCCTTAACATCTGTCATACTGTCTTCATCAGGTTTACAGACTCCTTTCTTTTTCCTTTTTCCTTTTTTATTTTTAGCATAGAGGAAAAGTGAAAAATCTCACCCCCTGGGGGATGGTCATGCCACAATCCCTTCTCCTCCATTTCCTTGGGATTTGGGGCACACATGCATGTGCGCCTGGCATCATTTCCAAGCTGCCAGATCCGGGGCTCCAACTGCACTTGGCTACGAGGGAGTACAGTGCCTTAATTACTGTGCCACCCGCTGGTCCCAGATGTACAGCAATTTCTAAATGAACTTTTACACTTTGTCCAGAGAGTTTGTCTCATAGTGATACTGAATATAACCAGTCAGATGCCAGGTACAGTGTTTCTTTTTTGAATAATTTATTTTATTTATTTATTATTGTTATTTTTTTCCACACGTGTTCACCAGAGAGAGAGAGAGAGAGAGAAAGAGAGAGAGAAAGCAAGCTGCCAGTTCTGGGACTCTTGCCGTGGTCAGCTATGTGTGAAGTCCAGTCCCTTAACCACCACACCACAAGCTGGCCCCCACCAGGTACAGTATTAATGGGCTCTCTGGGTATGAAAATTTTGCCTTCAACAGATCCTTAAGTGTCTGCCTGTTGGAATACCATGTTACAGAATGCCTTGACTTCATACTCTTACCGGCAAGAGAAACGAGACGGTCTCCTATGAAGACAGATGGACAAAGTGGACAGAAATCAATGCAGACAGTGCAGCAGTAACACCACTCCACCCATACGTCTCTGTCTCTTTCTCTTGTCCTTCCTCTCTGGTTCGTAGGAGAAATGAAAAAAAAAAAAAAAAGAATCAGGAAGAGGATTGAAGTGTGTTTATTATAGAAAAAGTCCTGTTTAGGGACCAGCAAATGGCATAATGGTTACACCGCTGAACTCACAAGTAGTCGACAGCAGTTTGAATCCCAGACCTGGCAGCTTGAAACTCACGCTGGGTGCTGCTTGTGCATGCCCAAAATCCCAAGAGGAGAATGGAGAAGGGATTGTAGTGTGGCCACCCCCCCCGGGGGGTGATTTCTTGCTTTCTGTCTCTGTCTCTCCAGCAAGTGCACACACCCTATAGCAAAAATCTCTCTCTTGAAAGAAAGTCCTGTGTAAGTCTAGAGCAATCTTGAACGAGCAAAAGCTTGACTTAGGGGTTTTATTACTTAAACTGGTGTTTTCTGTATTCACAGATGCAAACCACCCCCCACCCCCACCCCCACCCCGGAACTTGGAAGGGCTTTGTGCCTTGGCTAACCGAGAAGGTTTGCAGTAAGGGCACCATTCAGTTTATGTGGGTTTGTGGTAGATGTTGGGAAATGATGAAATGAATGACTTCTTAGTTTTCTTAACACAGAGTTTGTGTGTTTCTAAGCTGTCACTAGGGCCAGATAAATGCTACTGGGGAACCAGATTCAGGAGTAGCACACAGGCCCTCCTCTTTAGAGGCAGCTCAGCTGCGTCTGGGGAGAGCAGCAGCCTTCCAAGGAAGCTGTGGAGACTGGGGGAGGGAATGCTGTGTGCATGATACACATCTTGCTTTATGTCACACTGATTTTCCTGAAAACTGGCCAAGTGGGACATTTATGAATTAAAGCCTGTAGCTGCTTATTAAGGAAACAATTAGCATACATACAGATCAAAGCATGGTGCCAGGCCCTAAGTGAGCTTCCTGAAGTTTCTAAAATAGTATTTTCATATACTGGGGGTTTTAAGTTACAAAATTTAAAAAGTAACAGAAGCTTATTTCAGAAAATCTGGAAACTATTTACAAGACTACCCCACACCCCTATGTCCCCCCTACATTCCCCATTTACCATTTTATATTCTGTATATTTTATTCTAGTTTCCCTCACAAGAAAGTAAATTCCACACAGGCAAGGGGGTTCATTTTGTTCACTGCTGTATCTTAAAATATGGAGAGGCACTAAATATTTGTTAAAATAAATGTCTTGGAGGAAGGTAAGAAAAATTCTAATTCTACCAATCAGATATAACCACTGTTAATGTTTGCATTTCTCTCACCTTTGGGAGGGCAAGGGTAATTTCACTTTTATAATTGGTCTATTTTATACAGTTGAATTTTCCTTTGTTTAAAGGGGACCAGAAGGTGTCATGGTGGTTAAGGTGCCGGACACTCCCACATCGCTAATTATGGACCTGGTGGCTTGCTTTCCCACTTTCTCTCTCTCTCTCTCTGTGGTCAAATTAAAATCAATGAATGAGTAAATAAAATAAAATAATAAAATAATTCTTTAAAAAAATGGGACTATCAGGTGGTGGAGAGGTTAAAGAAGTTGCATCCCCACATGTCCGACATCAGGGTTCAAGTCTCTGGACCAAGCAGCTTGACCTGGCGGGCTGGTGTATGCAGTGGACGCCTAAAATCCCAAGAGGAGGGACTTAGCAGATGGCGTGGTGGTTGCCGCTGGACTTCCACATGGCTGATCACAGTTCGAGCCCCGGATCTGGTGGCTTGAAACTCATTCTGGGCGAGTGAGCCTGTGTGCCCAAGATCCAGAGCCGAGACTGGAGAAGGGATTGCGGCATGGCCATTCCCTCTTGGGGGTGTGTGTGTGATTTCTCACTTTCTCTCTCTCTCTCACTAGCACGTGTGCCATACAGGAAAAAACAAAAAACAAACAAACAAAAAAAACTGCCTAAAGAAAAAAAAATCCCGAGAGAACAGAAGAGAAGGGATTGAGATGTAGCCATCTCCCCTTAGGGGTGATTTCTCATTTTCCCTCTTTTTATTCTCTCTCTCCGCCTCTCTCTAGCCAGCACATGCTTCCTATAGCAAAATAAAATAAAATAAGCGGCAAGTTGAAAGACGCTCTTACTGGCTGCCTGGTATCCCACCACGTGGGAGGCAGGCAGGCGCCGGCTCTGGTCCTCTCCAGCACCCTCACCTCCACACCCTCCAGTTACTCTCCCACAGCATTCGGGTTCCCAGCCCCACCCCCCTCAGTCTGCGACGTCATCACGCTGGGACGTCGATGCCTACGGCCGTCGCGCTGTACGCAGGGTCTGACGTCATGACGTTCAGTCTAGCGACAGCGCAGGCTCCCGGCCCAGTCCGTTATGGCCGCTGGCGCCGTGGGGAAGATGAAGGGAATCGCGCTGGCCGAGCTGCTGCCGGGGCAGGGCATGCGGGCCCCCGCGGGGCTGGCGCGGCCGCTGCTCCTGACGACACAGCCCTCCCGGGACGCGCGTTCGAGCCTGAGCAGACGGCGATGTCTAGACCGGCCGGGGAGGGAGACTGCAGTGTCTGAAGGGGTCCCAGGTGGTAGGTTCTCGAAGGGCCTGAGAAGTGGGGGTGAGCGATGCCGGGACCCCGGGAGGGGACAGCGTGCAGATGGGTAGGGAGGGAGGAGTGGTCGTGCAGTCCGGAGAACCTTGAAGAATGGACTGCCGCACCGAGTGGCAGTGTTGGTGGGGTCTTCGGGAGTCCTTGGAGTGGAATTTTGGAGGATTTAAAAGAAGGGCTTGGGGGACAGGGGCTGAGTAGATGGCCTAGGTTGGGGGTGTGGTCTTAGAGAGTCCCGAGGTGGAGGGACGCAGGGTCTACCAGGGCTAAGGAAGGATGGCGGTTTTCCAGAGCCCGGGAGGTCAGTGGTCAAGTCCGAGGCGGGTTGGGGCAGTGACCAGTGCTTGGATGGAGCTCGTTATTTCGGAGAGTAAAAGTGAAGGAAAAAGAGCGCTCTTTTTTTTTTTGGATAGGTTTTCGCTATAGGGCGCGTGCGCTCACCAGACAGACAGAGACATAGAGACAGAAAGCGAGAAATCACCCCCCAGGGGGGATGGTCACGCCGCAATCCCTTCTCCTCCATTCTCCCCCCGGGATCTTGGGCACGCACGCACACGCAGCCGGCGTGAGTTTTAAGCCACCGGGTCCAGGACGCGAACCGCGTTCGACTACGTGGGAGTCCAGCGACATAGCCATTACGCTAACTGCTGGTTCCCAAAAGAGCGCTCTTTGGGTACTGCTGCGTCTTTGAGGTCTGAGGTCTGAGGTCTGGGTGATTTTGGTGCTTGGCTAAGAGCCAGAATACTGGGGCGTTGGGCTCTTTAGGTGCTTGGAGGGGAGAGGAGTTTGGGGAAAAAGAGAGATTATTCGTAAACATGGTTCTCCATCCCTGTGTCGTGGGTTAACCACGACAACCCTACCTTATTTTTCTTCTTTTTTTTTAGAATTATTTAATTTTATTATTATTATTTTACATTTGACGAGAGAGAGACAGAAAAATTGAAAAAGCAAGCTGCTAGGTCTGGGGCTCAAACTGTGGCCAGCCATGTGGGAGTCCAGCGCCTCAACCATCGCACCACCTGCTGGTCCCACCCTGCCTCATTTTAGTGAATCTGTGAGATTGGATTTTTTTTTTTTTTTTTTGGAAGAGGTTTTTGCTATAGGGCACGTGCCAGACAGACAGAGAGAGACAGAGAGACAGAAAGTGAGAAATCACCCCCCAGGGGGATGGCCACGCTGCAGTCCCTTCTCCTCCATTCTCCTCTCAGGATCTTGGGCATGCACGCACACGTGCCCAGCGTGAGTTTTAAGCCACTGGGTTCAGGACACGGACTGTGGTCGATTACATGGGAGTCCAGCGACATAGCCATTACGTTAACTTCTGGTCCCTGTAAGATTGGATTTTTGAGAAAGGATTCCTTTTATTATAAATGTTACATTGTGAATCAAGATTTTGAAAACTTTATTGAGAAATGAGGAAATCTGTAAGTCATAGTTTGAGACTTGGGAAATATTCAGTAAGTATTTATAATGATTGGGACCAGCAGGTGGGGTCATGGTTACGTTGCTGGACTCCCATGTAGTCTGTGATTCGAGTCCTGGACCTCACAGCTTAAAACTCACACCAAGTTTGTGTGCGTGGGTGCCCAAAATCCTGAAAGGAGAATGGAGAAGGGATTGCGGTGTGACTGTCCTCTCTGGGGGGTAATTTCTCACTTTCTATCTCTCTGTTGCTCTCTGGTGAGTGCCATGCTCTATAGTAAAAAATCTCTCTTAAAAAAAAGAAGTTATACTGATTAAGCAGGTTTTTTTTTTTTAAGGAATTGTTTATTTTTAATGTTATTTATTCATTTTTTATTTTAATTTGACCAGAGAGAAAGAAAGTGAGAAAGCAAGCCACCAGATCCTGGACTTGAACCATGGTCGGCCATGTCCAGCACCTTAACCACCATGCCACCTGCTGGTCCCTTAAGCAGTGTTTTTAGTAGTCTTTTATTCTTGCAGGCCAAGACAATCCTATATTTCTCCTTAAATCTCTTTTGAACTTTCAGATGAACAACAGTATGAACTAGGATAGCAGTTCCTTGCTTGCTAACAAAGGAGGCCTAGCTATAAATCCCTGTACTACAGTGCTCTGGTTACAGGCTTAGGTTTCCAGCAACACCGCAGGTAGGAAACTGGACAGCCCTCCCAGAAGTGTTTGCAATTCTGTGGGGAAATACTGCGGTCCATTTTCCCAAGGCCCTTTCCTCATTTGTGAAATGTAATGAGGATTTCCTGGCTAATGCAGATATTCTTGTTCATAAAGTAATTCAGTAGATAATTATTTAGTTATTTAATTATCTTAAAGAAAAAAAGACATTTAAATACTGATATTTTCTGCTGGAATGCTTAAGAGGGATGATTTGGGAGATACTTATCTGATAACTGAAATTTCAGAAGCAAACTTTCTCCTAAGGGGTGGTTGAGAATCATGCTATGGAGAAGGTAAGCAAGGAGGAGTGTGGAGTATTAAGTATTTGTCTTTGTTTTTATCTGTTAGATCCCTATAAATACTGCTCCAACTGAACTGGGACATTTTAGGGACTCTTTCTTTTTCTTTTTCTTTTTTTTTTTTGACATATTTTTGCCACAGGGTGTGTGTACTCTCCAGAAAGACAGAGACAGAGAAACAGAAAGTGAGAAATCAATCCCCAGAGGGATGGCCATGCCGCAATCCCTTCTCCTCCATTCTCCTCTCAGCATCTTGGGCATGCACGCACATGTGCCTGGCGTGAGTTTAAGCCACCGGGTCCGGGACTCAAACTCCATGGGAATTGACTACATGGGAATTGACTACATGGGAGTCCAGAGACATAGCCATTATGCCAACTGCTGGTTTCCCATTTTAGGGAATCTTTATCTTAAGTCTTTATGCATGCCACTTTAAGATGTTATAATTTGAGATTCCCTACTGAGAGTAAAACAGAAATGTGTACAAATGCTCTTATTAGGGAGCAGCTCCATTGCAGTATAGTGTAGCATTTGTAAAGCTTGGGATAAACAAGTATTTTTTGTAAGCATGCCTATGGTGGAGTAATTTCAAACTAATCACTTTTGTATTAAGAAAGTTAAAGTCTATAATGTGTTGAGTTCAAATTTCAAATAAACTTAGAAAGATAAAAAGGTTTCAAATGACTTAAACTTGTTCCATATTAGGCTCCTTAAAATCTTAGTGCTTGGATGTATTTTTGGCAGTCTTTTAAGAATTTTAACATTGTTGGGACCAGCAGTTAGTGTAATGGCTATGTTGCTGAACTCCCATGTAGTTGACTGCTATTCGATCCTGGACCCGGTGGCTTAAACTCATGCCGGGCCAACAGGTGGTGTGGTGGTTAGGGCACTGGATTCCCACATAGATGACCATGATTTGAGTCCAGACTGGTGGCTTGAAAATCATGCTGAGTGCATATGCGTGCGTGCCCAAAATCCCAAGAGGAGAATGGAGAAGGGATTATGGGGTGGCCATTCCTCCTTGGGGGTGAATTTTTTTTTTCTTGAAGTTTTCTGTAGGGTACATGCTCTTGCTGGAGAGAGAGAACGAGAGTGAGAGAGAGAGAGGGACTAGCAGATGGTGTAACGGTCACCTTGCTGGACTCCCATATAGTCAACCGTGGTTTGAGGCCTGGACCCAGCAGCTTAAAACTCACACTGGGCACATGTGTGTTTATGTACCCAAGACCCCAAGAGGAGAATGGAGGAGAAGGGACTGGGGTGTGGCTATCCCCCTGGGGGGTGATTTCTCGCTTTCTGTCTCTGTGGTGAGTGCATACTCCCCATAGCAAAAATCTCTCTAAAAAGAGAGAAAGAGAGTAGAAGAGAAAGAGAAACCATTTGGCTGTATTGCAGTCCCTTCTCCATCCTCCTCTGGGGATTTTGGGCATGAACACAGACATGTGCCTGGTGTGTTTTTTAAGCCCGTGGGTCTGGGATTTGAACCATGCAGTTGGCCCTGTGGGTCCCAGTGCCTTAACCACTATGTTACCTGCTGGCCCCTGGTTTCTTCTTTTCTAATGTATGCCTGTAATGGTATTAATTTCCCTGTCATCATTGCTTTAGCTGAGTTCTATATATTTTGACTTGTTGTATTTTCATTTGCTTTCAGTTCAGTATAGTTTTTTCTTTCTTTTAAAATTACCCTTTAGACTTTCTCTTTGGCCCATGGATCATTAGGAAGTGTGTCGTTTAGTTTCCAAATGTTTGGAGATTTTTCCTGTTGTCTTTCTGTTACCAGTATCTGGTTCCATTGAGTCAAAGAACATGCCACCTAATCTTAATCTTAATCTCCATGCCACCTGCTGGCCTTGATCCTTTTATTATTATGTACTGTTCTTCTCCGTGTTTGTTTGTTTGTTTCTTTTGTTGTTTAGTTTACTTTATCTGATATTAATATAGTCACATCTGCTTTCTTTTGGTTGCTGGCCTCCCAGCCAGCCAGAACCATGGTGGATATGTTCAGGTTGACCTGGAACCTGAACTGGGCCGCCATTGTGGCTCCCGCCCTCCACAAG